AAAGAGAGAAAGAGAGAAAGAGAGAAAGAAAGAAAGAAAGAAAGAAAGAAAGAAAGAAAGAAAGAAAGAAAGAGAAAAAGAAAAAGAGTCTCCTGATTGTTCGGCACACGGAGAAGACACTGGGAAACCGGAAGTCAGGCACAGCGGGAAGGGCTGCCCTTTGTGCTGGCCCAGGGCTGGGAGGTGTTCATGGAGGGATGTGTGAACACACATGATGGTCCCTGCTACCCGGGTGTGTGGGTGAACAACCCCAGCCCCCACCCCCAGGTAGGACCCAGGAAACTGACTTCAGACAGATGTTTCAGCCTCTGCCTGGTTTCCACACTAAGGGAAACAGACTAAAAGTGCTAGGAAGTGAAATGTACCAGATCTTTTTTTTTTTGGTAGCCACATCCTCAGCCCTGTTTTTGTATTTTTTTAGAGACAGGGTCTCACTGAGTGGCTTAGGGTCTCACCATTGCTGAGGCTGGCTTKGAACTCCCCATCCTCCTGCCTCAGCTTCCCAAGGCGCTGAGATCCCAGGCGTGTACCATCTCAACTGGCAAATGATAACAATGAAACCTCSAGAGTGAGGTCAAGGATTAAGAATTAAAATGGATGCTGCAAACACAGCCCCAGAGTAGAAAAGATTCATTTTATAAAGCATCGGAAGACTGGCAATTGCCATGCGCATCTCTGAGATCCATGGATGGTGCGGATTTAATGAGCCTATCAGTCTGCTCACCAGCACTTACAACAGGAACGAGATTCATTAGAGGCTCTGGTGCCATGGCCACTCACTTTCTCATTTAACCAAGCCCCTGTCTCGTTCTTTCATCCAATCTTCTCATTACACCCCTCTCCCCCCACACACCCTACAGGAGGGATGATTAAACATYAGCCCTGATTCAAATAACCAACGCGTGGCAGAAACAAACATATTTATATGCTTTCTGCAAAGATTAATAGTAGCTAGCAGGAGCCTGCCAACCGCAGATGTGCAAACTTTCTGTCCCATCCATAAATCACACAGAAGGCATATGGCATATTTTAAAGACTGCTGATGTGACACTGATTTTCAATTGCCCGGGTTCTGGAACAAACCATGTAGCTGCTGACTAATGAGGCCATATCTTCTGGACCTTTCCATATGAAGGTGATAAGATGTGACAGTACCAACAGAGAGAAGGACCCAGGAAGGAAGGACGAGAGAACCCAGACGTCTTTGGGATCAAGGAGCCTGTTTCTTTTATGGGTYGTTTGCTGCTTTAGACAGACTCTTTATGGTCAAGTTCCAGTAACTGTTAGATAGGAGAGGAGGGTGGTTCGTCACTGTCAGGTGCTGGCTGGATCAGAGACGTGCAGGCTCTGCTGAGAACCATTTCAGAGTTTTTAGCCAGGCCCAGTGGCCCATGCCTGTCATCCCAGCAGCTCAGGAGGCTGAGGCAGGAGGATCGTGAGTTCAAAGCCAGCCTCAGCAACTTGGCAAAGCCCTAAGCCACTCAGGGAGACCCTGTCTCTAAGTAAAAGATGGAAAGGGCTGGGGATGGGGCTCTGTGGTTAAGCACCCTGGGTTCCATCTGTGATACCAGAAAAAAAATTTTAAAAAAAGAGTTTCCAGGTTGTTGGACACAGAAAGGGATAAGTGTGCAGAGTCAGTGTTATTCAGAGCCAAGGAAGCACAACACRAGGCTGCGACCCACAGGAAGAGGGGGGACTACTTCTCCCACGGTGGGCTCGCACCTTCCCAGGTCCCAGGGAAGTCACCAAGATCAGATCCGAGGCACGGGGAAGCGGGAAAGCCCCCTGTCAATCACTGACTAGGGCACAAGAGCCACACATCAGCCCAGACCGCCATTACCCAAATCATCCTTACGCTCTAGTTATTTCCTGCGACGTCGTGGTCACGGTTTAAGAACCAATTACCCGAGAATCAAGTGGTCTAGAGTCTTCGGAATTGGACTGGAACATTTTTTTTTTCTTTTTAAATAAAATCTGCACAATGGTTCTTTCTATCTGCTCAAGAAGGGCCGATGGAGCATTTTGATTCACCTCGACAGTCGCTCTGTGTTTTCAATTTCCTTCCAATGACCCCAATCATCTTTGTCACAAAAGACAGAGCTTCCTGAGAGCATGGAACCAACAGTAAATAAAACCTGGATGTCGATCTCTTTCCAGAGGACCTGAGCACACCGTGCAGGAAACGAATCAGGCTGGCAAAGGTCAGGAGCCGCTGACGGTGGACCCCACTGTGGGCAAAGAGCAGGTGTGGCCACCCGATGACCCGCACCCCAGAAGCAAGGCCTTTCAAAGTTCTGCAGACTGTTTCCCAGGAGTGCTGGTGGGGCGGGGGTGGGGCGCCCAGGCAGGGAGACACAGGACCCTTTCTCMTGTCTCAAGACTTAGAATATCCCAGCTCTCTAGATCTGCAACCACCTGCACAGCAGTAGGCTGAGGCACATTTTGAATATCCTTGGCCGGGGCTGTTCTACCACTTGCAAATGAGCACATCTTCGTTCACTCATCTGTGAACACCTAAAAGGGTGTTAAATGCCAGGGATAACATGTATCAGCATGTATGCATGGGTCCTGGCTGCATGGACCTTATGTTCTAGTGAAAAGAAAGACAAAGAAAAAAAAAAAATATATATATATATATATATAATAATGCCTTGCAATAATAACATGGTTTGTCAAGGTTCTAGGAACTGAGTTTTGGAAGCATCAAGGAGCAAATTTAGATAAAGTGATTCAAGAAGCCTTTTCTCAGGAATGCAAATGAGCAAAGGGCTGGGAAAGGACATCCCGGGCAGAGAGAACAGGATGTGCAAAGGCCCTGRGGTAGAAAAGAGCCTAACCCATGAAGGTCACTTCAGAAGGAAGTCAAATATGTCTGAAGCAAAGTGACAAGAAGGAATGTGAAAAGAGGTCGGAGGCGTGTCCAGAACCCACATTTCGAAGCCTGTACAGCAAGCAGTTCAAAGGTTTCGAACTCCTAGTGGTTCTTAAAGGAYGCATTCTGATTCATGTTTTCAAGTATCACTCCGACTGCACCACAAGATGTCTAAGCCATAAGCTTAATGGGAAGCAATCAAAGGTTTAAGTAATAATGACCATGAGCTGGRCTGGAGAGGTAGCTCTTCAGTAGAGCACTTGCTTAGCATGCACAAGGCCCTGAGTTCCAATCCCAGTGTCGCCAAAAGAAAAAATAAAAAGAAAGAAAGAACAGAAAATCTTCAATGACCACTTAAAAGAACCGACCAGTCACCCGGAGACCAGTAAGGACACTAAAGCCATGCATCTCAGAGTCACAGAGCAGAACTACGTACCTCCTCGCTGCACCAACAGGGTGACCTCGCTTCCCTTGGGACACTCGATGAGCATGTCCACCACCTGGTTGTGACTCAAGGCCTGCACGTTCTTCTTATTGACCTCCACGATGAGGTCCCCTTCTTTCAAGCCCCGGCACCTCAGACTGTCCACGATCTGCTTCACTCTCTGGCCCCCRCCGCCCGGGCTGTCGGCGATAGTGAACCCGAAGCCCATGGGCCCCTTGACTATGTGCACGGTGATGAGCTCCGGCTGCGTGGCGATGGACGAGGCCAAGGACACGGTGTCGTTGGGGTACCCGTGGGAGCCGGTGGAGGCCACGTCCGCGGGGCTGCTGGGCCTGGCGTCCCTCATGCTGCTGGCTTTGCCTGTTTTACTGCTGTGGCTCGCTGGGGAATCGTAGGTCTCCTGTCCGTTCACGATAATGGGCTCTTTGTCCAAAATAGCCACCGAGGTCACTAAACTGGTGTTGGGGTCATCTGGGTCAAAAGGCAATGGGTAACCTCGGCAGAGTTCAAGGTCCACGCTGGCACCAATGGGGATAGACTGGAAGATTTTCACAACTTGCGCGTGCGTGTGTCCCAGGACACAGGTGTCGTTCACGCTGACAATGACATCRCCTGGAAAAGGTCACAGAGTTTGGGGGGGAGGAGTCAAGAAGCWGGTAGATATTAAACTCTCCCACTGATGTCCAGAACCCACCACCCCACATCATGCCCCTTTGGTGCAGGGATTATTTTGAGCAAAAAGACACTTTAAAAAATGAGGCAGTCGCGGTGGCACATGCCCGTCATCCCAGCGGCTCAGGAGGCTGAGGCAGGAGGATCTCGAGTTCAGCACCTTAGTGAGGCCCTCAGCAACTCAGTGAGACCCTGTCTCTAAATAAAATACAAAATAGGGCTGGGGATGGGGCTCAGTGGTTGAGTGCCCCTGGAGTTCAATCCCTGGTACCCCCCAAAATTAGATATGCAAAGGAGGTGAAATTTTACATGGAAGCTGTCCTTCCTAGATGTGACATTCTCACTTCATTAACATTCCTATCACGAATAGGAAATCAAACCAGAGGAATCYGGACACATCAACCCTGTGAAGCCAACCTTACCTTCCCATTCTTATAATATTCCCAGGCCCAGGCAAAAGCTGGTAGAGAGCAGATGCAAAATTCTGCCTCCTTTACACCCCCACTGAACACAAAGCTGAACCTGAACTTGGACTTGGGACTGATACCGTGAAGCATAAAAAGAAAGCTTCCATCTTTTTTTTTTTTTGTACTGAGGATTGAACTCAGGGGCACTCGACCACTGAGCCCCATCCCCAGCCCTTTTTTATATTTTATTTAGAGACAGGGTCTCMCTGAGTTGTTTAGAGCCTCGCTTTTACTGAGGTTGGCTTTGAACTCGTGATCCTCCTGCCTCAGCCTCCCAAGCCACTGGGATGACAGGCATGGGCCACCGTRATGCCAGCTCTTTGCTTCTCTTGTTGCACCTACTGCCTTGCTTGCTAATGGGAAGATTATCATCATTAAGAAAATACGGGTGCTTTCTTCTCTATAGAAATTCTCAYTGTGGAGAGATCCAAGTTTAGCACCCATTTCTCCAAGTGGCTCCACATTTTTAGTAAATTGCTGGATCACTGTATTCAATAGCACCCTAACAGCTCCCCCAAATTAAAATGGCTTCRGAGGATTTGATGTGCACCMAGGGCTGAATTTTGGTGATGGAGGKCTCCAGCCCACCCCAAGGTRTGCAGAGGRCATTTATGMACCACGAGTCCTTTGGTGACAGCCAGCTCAGGCGTGGGTGGAATCTCACTCCACAGCACGTGCAGGGGCCCTGGGGACCTTACCTGTTTCCATCTTGCCATCCAGGGCGGCAGGACCGTCCAGGACCAAGCTCTTGATCTGGAGGAACTCGTCGGGTTCGTCCCCGCCAACTACCGTGAAGCCGAAGCCGCGACTGCTTTTCCGCAGCTTCGTGTGGATGAACTTGCCTTTCAACTCAGAAGGGTTTCGTGTAAAAAAGGGTTTGCCTGGGTACCAACAAGAAAGGCACAAGGAAAGTCACTGTGAGCGGGAAGTGGACTCAGTCAGAGAAGAGGGCGTGGGGGAAGGGGGGAGGAGGGGGAGGGGCTGGCTCTCCAAGCTTGCAGGCTGGGTCTTTGGCTCTAAGGGGTCCTGAGAAAGTGCTCTGCTTGGTATGAGGGGAAGAAATGGAACGAATTATGTAATGTGCATGTACGATTGTGCCACTGTGTGTCCCCTTCKGTCTGATTATAATGCACAAATTAAAATGAGGTCCTCTCCTGATTCCAGGAATAGGTGGTTTGAGGCCCCATGTAGGAAGTGGGTATTGTACACAGAGGGGGGCATCTTTAGGGCCCAAAAGAAGATAGAAGAGAGGACAAGATCAGTCCCCACAAAGTGACAGCCTTCCTTAGYTTCAGTTCTCGTAGTTCTAAGCTGCCACAGAAAACAGTCAGCCTTTGGTGTCTTTTGATTGATTGAYTGATTGGTTAATTGATTGGTTGATGGTACTCGGTATTGAACCCAGAGATGCTTCATCACTGAGCCACATCCCCAGCACTTTTTAAATATTTTATTTAAAGGCAGGATTTTTATTTGCTTAGGGCCTCCCTAAATTGCTGAGGCTGGCTTTGAACTGGTAATCCTCCTGCCTCAGCCTCCTGAGCTGCTGGGATTATAGGCATGTGCCACCACGCCCAATTTCTTTTATTTTTTATTTTGTAGCATGGCTTCTGAGGTGCTGGGTTGGGCTTGGCTTCTACATTTAAGACCAACTGGATGAAACCTTAGTTTTGAAACCTTAGTTTTTAACTAGATGGACAGATAAGAATGCTTCCCCTCACCAATAATAATAATAATAATAATAATAATAATAATAATAATAATGAAAATTAAAGCTCATTACTAGGAATGGAATTCTAAAGTCAACTAACTTTTGCTATTTATTCGCATCTTTTAACAATTTGTGAAATAGCCGATATATGTCCATGGCAAAGGCTTACTGTTTAAGAAAAGCTTCAATCATTTAGCTTAGGATACTTAAAGCCATAAGCTAAAGTAAAACCTTGAACTAAAGTAGTTACTCACTAGGATCATAGGAGCTTCAAACCCTGCTGTCTTGCTTAAAACAAATTAATGGACAAATAGCTCCCAGGCAGGGCTGGGGCTGGGGCTCAGTGGTAGAGCGCTCACCTAGCATGTGGGAGGCACTGGGTTCCATCCTCAGCACCACATAAAAATGAAATAAAGATACTGTGTCCACCTACAACTAAAAAATAATTATTTAAAAAAAATAACTCCCAAACATACTCCCTAAGGTTATAGTGAGTTTTCCTGATACATTCCCAAATAGCATTTTACATACAAATTGAAAAAGTCTTCCTTGGGGCTTTATTAGAAATTTCTCTAAGAAACCCCTGGAATTTCTCTCATTATCCCGAACAGTGGACACATTCCCTGAGCCTTTTTTCTCTCTCCTCATTTCATTTCCCATGACTTCTCCTGGCCACAGCTTCCTCATCCACCTGATTTCTTTTCTGTCAAAAATGTTATCCAAAAAGAAAACAAAGGTCAAGCCATTTAAAGAGGCTGAGGCAGGAGGATCGCCGGTTTGAGACCAGCCTCTGCAACATAGGGAGGACCTGGCTCAGAATAAAAAGTAAACAGGGCTGGGGGTTTGGCTCAGAGCACCCCGGGTTCAATCCCTGGTATTAAAAGGAAAAAAGCAAGACAAAGTCTCACACCCCCCAGGCATGAGGAGCCTGGCACCCAGGAAGGAGAGTTATTTTTGGTTCTCGGTAACTAAAAGGACTTAAAAGGTCTCTGGGCATGCATACAATTTTTAATTGCACATGATAAAAGTTTCTGGCTCCTAAGAAAAAGAAAAAGGAAGGCTCTTTTAAATGGCCCCCAGTCAGAGTTCTGCTCGCTCCTCTCTCTAGAGCCGTCCCAGGGCTTATTGGGAGTTGAACCAACCACGGCTGAAACCAGAGGCTCAGCCAGACACAGTGCCACATGCCTGAAACCCACCCATCTGGAAGGCTGAGGCAGGACCCCTGAGCCCCGTCCCCAGCCCTATTTTGTATTTTATTCAGAGACAGGGTCTCACTGAGTGGCTTAGGGCCTCACTTTTGCTGAGGCTGGCTTTGAACTCCAGATCCTCCTGCCTCAGCCACCGCACCCTCAAGATTTTTAAAAAGCCCATCATTAGCATATTTTGTGCTTAATAATGGTTTCAACTTAATAGAGACATGAGTTCGCTACTGACTTCCTTTCCCACCTAGAGAGGRAAGATCAGAAGGTTTTCACACTCATGCACATTTTATTATGGTTTTATGTTCCGGTGGGTCATTAGTTAATGCAGATTTGGGAAAGAAATTACTTTTTTTTTTTTTTTTCCAAAGCAGTGGAACTTGAAGCTCTCGGCTGAGGCTCCAAGGTACAATTTTCTGAGATTCGAACTTCTGTTGATTTATCAGCAGTTTTAAGACCTGGCTGTGTCTGGAACTCACCCGGGTGGTTTATCAAGATGTGATGACTTTAGTTCCAAACCCAGACTCACTGAGTCAGGATCTTCTGGGTTTGGGCCCAAAAAATTCTAGGCCACAATAACCCTTAGGGATTGTCTTACTGCCAGGCCTGAACTGTTCTTGGCTTGACGGTTTGAATTCCCCAGGAATAGCACTTCCTACGGTGATGAAAATACTCTGTATGTTCATTATTCAATGTGGCAGACTCTAGTCCACTCAGTGACCGCACCCCTGAAATGTGCACCAGTGGGACAGAGGAAACCCAGCTTTGCTATCATTCAATTTATTTTTTGATGGTGATTCAAAAGTTCCAACTCCCGATTTTTTAATTGTAATTTGATGAATTCAACTGAATTAAAAAACAAAAGCTGGGCTGGGGGGTCGTGGCTCCGTGTCCTCAGCACCACGTAAAAAGATATTAGAAAGAAAAGCTATTGTTCTTGGGCAAGTTACTACACCATTCTGCCTGAGCTTGGCATATGCAACTGGAGGTACCTACCACAGGTGAGAATCATAAGGAAAACCCATAATAAAACATTTAGGGACGTGCCTGGAACATCATAGGGACTGAAAAAATGAGTGACTACGTTGCTGGTGGTAGAGTGAGTAGCGTGGACAGACAAAGGGAAAAACCTCTCTTCAAGCCTGAAGCAGAGGAGCTTGCCTGTGAGTGCATCTCTCAAAGAATCACTTGCTGGGATTGGAAGTTGGGGCTTGAAGAAAGGAGAGGCTAGTGAACAGTGATCTTAACAAAATTCATACCAAACCAGCTAACCAAGTTAGCAACTGGGCTCCCTCCTGCTGGCTCCATGAACACTGGATACCATGCACGACACAAGATGCTAGAGGGCACATCAAGCTGCTTAACCAGCTGGGCCAGGTGGTGCACACCTGTTATCCCAGCAGTTCAGGAGGCTGAGCAGGAGGATTGCAAGTTCAAAGCCAGCCTCAGCGACTTAGTGAGGCCCTAAGTAATTCAGCAAGACCCTGTCTCTAAGTAAAATATAAAAAGGGCTGGGGGTGAGGCTCAGTCATGGCTTTCCTATGCTCATATATGAATTCAGGACCAGTGCAACTCCCCAGCATGAACAGCCCCAAGAATGGGAAGGTAGACTCCATGTATGTGTGAGAGGTCAGAATGCACTCTCCTGCCGCGGATATCTGACAAGAACAGTCAGCAAAATATCACCAGGGTTCTTAGTTGGCGCTCTAAGCATTTGGCACCCAAAAACTGACCCGTTAAGACTTTCATCTTGAAGACAATTCTTTGGTAGCTGACTATCATAGGTATGTGTGGATACATAAATGGATATGTGCACTGCTTCACTCAATAATAACTGCAGCAGGTAGTACATAGGAGTCTACCTGATTTGGGATTATCCTGCAATAAAGGAAAAAAAATAAATACCACACAGTTTGTGCCTCCATGGGATTTAAAATCTAACAGGGAAATTACTATTAAAAAAAAAACCAGTGCCATGGACCCGGACTCAGTGGCGCACGCCTATGATCCCAGCTCAGGAGGCCGAGGCAGGAGGATCATGAGTTCGAAGCCAGCCTCAGCAACTTAGTGAGGTCCTAAACAACTCAGTGAGACCCTGTCTCTAAATAAAAGATAAAATGGAGCTGGGGATGGGGTCAGTGGTCGAGTGCTCCTGAGTGAGACACAGAGGCTATTGGGGGTGAATATCGGAGGGGAATTGATTAAAGACCTAAAACACACAGGGTTTCACAAAGACTGGGAGGGAAGGAACTGCACAGGGTAAAGCCTACGCAGACCCTCTGCAGTCCCCAGGTGGGGACAGGCTTCAGGATCTTAGAGGAGACTCTGGCAGATGGCGAGGGGAGGGGACAAGACTCAAAGAAGGAACTCATAAGTCAAGAGGACTGAGAAAGCCACTATCATGCTGACCGGGATGGACCCACTGTCAGCGATCGTGTTCTGCCTTTGTCCAAGCCATTATCACCATCAAGGAGCGCACTCAGGCCAGGACACAGCACTTTACACACAGTGACACTAACCCTGCCCCCGTGACAAGGTGGCGAGCAGAGAGACCATTTGTTTCTTGAWAAAAATTATAATGAGGGATCAAAATAAGAGAAAAGATTTTTTCGTATCTTTTCCTATCTAACAATTATATCTTGTTAAAAAAAGTGTAGAAGTGAAGAGGTGTTTTACAGTATTTTTAATATTACTTTACCATAAACATTCCCCAACCCTATCAAACATGACATTCGMTCTGTTTTTCATTTGTGAAAGAAATGAAACAACAACAATAACAAAAAGCACCAGGAACCTTTCTTAGCATGGAAGAGGAATGAGGTCCAAGAGTGGCTAGGTTTGGGAGTTTCCGATTGTCAGAAATGGCCCTCTCTAGGAAATGCAGACTTTTTGTGAATCAAAGTAAGAAAGACCTGCAGACATGATGTGAAAAAATGCATAYGTATGTGTCTAGGCATAAAACACACCCCGGAGGTAACAAGAACAGGATAAGAAAATATAATAATACCAAAGGATTTATGTTTCCAGAAAAAAAAAAAAAAACTTAAGTCAAAAACAAATATGCTCTAGGCCTGGTGGCTCATGACTATATTTCCAGCCGCTGAGGAGGCTGAGGCAGGAGGATCTCGAGTTCAAAGCCAGCCTCAGCCACTTAGGCACAAAGCAACTCTGTCTCTAAATAAAATATCCAAAAAGGCTGGGGATGGGGCTCAGTGGTTAAGGGCCCCTGGGTTCAATCCCCAGTACCCAAACGACAATGACAACAACAACAAAACAGGCTAACCAGAATCTTAAAATATCTATGGCTGAGCTTTGAATTTCTCCTATTGGACATGGTATTAAATATTAATAGTCCTATTTCAGCCATTTCCAAATCCAGGATGATTTGTTCCCTGGGGGCATTTGGCAATGTCTGGGGACATTTTTGGTTGTCATAAGGTGAGGGGTAAGAGGTGGGGTGTGGGCTCCTAACGTCTAATGGACAGGCGACTCGAATGCGGCTGAGCCTCCAGAAGGCACAGGAAAGGCCCCATCCAAAGAATCACCGAACCCCAAAAGTCAATCRATAGTGCTGAGGATGAGAAAGTGGATTTCAATGGTCATTGAAAAGGCATAATTATTATTAGAGGATTACAAGTGGTTGAAGAACTCTACTTAGAAAGGTTCCTAATTTTTGATGGTCTGATTAACAATACATTTAGATTTGCTTTCACTAAAGGTTTGTAGTATCAAAGGAAAGACTTGGAGATTACAAAAGCCCACTTTTTTGGAAGGGGGTGGGCATTACCAGGGATTGAACCCAGGGGCACTGTACCACTGAGCCCCATCCCCAGCCCTATTTTCTATTTTATTTAGAGACAGGGTCTCTCTGAGTTGCTGAGCACCTCACCATTGCTGAGGCTGGCTTTGAACTCGAGATCCTCCTGCCTCAGCCTCCTGAGTTGCTGGGATTATAGGCATGCRTCACYGCCTGGCCAAGATTCCCYCTTTTTAAAGTGACTTTTATAAATGAGACTTTGTGAGTGGAAACCAAGATGCAATTGTAAAAAACATTTTACCCTGAAGTGGAGCTTCCCTGGTTGGCTCCGGATTGCTTGGGGGGTGGTTTGGAATAACAGGAGGCACGAGGGATGAATGATCTTCTGTCCACTCTGCAAGAAAGAATAGAAACGATTTCCTGCATTTCCCTCCAAAGGCACGGTCAGCTTCCAAACAACTCACCTCCTCATTCATCACGCGCAAACCCACAGAACGGAGGACAGAGCTCAGACGAGAAAGGAGCTGGTGTCTGACCTCTCCATAGGAAGGATTTCAGGATCTCTGTGTCTCATTTAAAATGCCTGGGGGGAAAAATACTGTGGTATGTCCAATAAAGACTGCAATTCTCTCTGGAGAGTCCAAAGTGAGATTAAATAAAAAAAAAAATATCAGTGAGGACAGGGAATCACCCACAAGCAGCAGGCCAAGAGAGAACTTTCTTGATGGGAATGAGAACTTGGCTGGTCTGCTGCAGCCTGGGTTTCTCAGGTCATGAGCTGCATGAAGGTGGATGTCCACAGTTGCTCAGGTGCTGATTTCTGTCATCTCTAAAACCCAAATGGGGCCTGTGGGCTCTGTTGTATTGTTATGTCCCTCGACCTCTGAGCCACATCCCCAGGCAAATTTTGTCTTTTATTTAGAGACAGAGTCTTACTGAGTTGCTTAGGGYCTCACTAAATTGYTGAGGCTGGTTTTGAACTYGCCATCCTCCTGCCTCAGCCTCCTGAGCCRCTGGGATGACAGGTGTGCACCACGGCACCCTGACCCTTGAGAAGCACCACAGCTACTTTCTAGCTCAGTTTCTATATTCAATGGATCCCCACTGCCCAAATGGTCATTTCCAACATGCCAAGTTTCACCAGTTCGGGGAAAAAATATTTTAAAAATTCTTTTTAAATAGAAGAGACTTAGAGAACTTTGGAACTGGCAAATACATTTACGCATGACACTCTGTCAAAATTACATGGTTCTGGGCAGCAGTTGGCAAACCACGCCCATATCCCAGACTGGACCCAATGTCTCTTTGTATCCAGTCTTTGAGACAGAGTAACATTCTTTTTTTTTTTCTCATCATCAGAACTTTTTCTTTTTTCTTTTTTTTATTTTGAGAAAGGGTCTTGCTAATTGCTAATTTGCTGAGGCTGGCCTTGACCTAAAGATCCTCCTGCCTCAGCCTCCCAAGCAGCTGGGATGACAGGTATGCACCAACATGTCCGGGCAAGTTTTTAGATTTTTAAATGGCTGAAAAAAATAAAGAAAAGGAATATTTTATGACACATTAAAATTATACAAAGTTCAAATTCCAGCAACCATAAGTAAAGTTTTACTGACACACAGGTATTCAGTTATATACTGCCTAGGGGTGTTTTTATATTACAATAGTAGAGGTGAACAGACAAAAGAGAGGTCATATGTATCAAAAAAGACTRACATGCCAGGTGTGGTGGGGCACACCTATAATCCCAGAGGCTCGAGAGGCTGAGCCAGGAGGATCTCAAGTTCAAAGCCAGCCTCAGTAATTTAACAAGACCCCGTCTCAAAATAAACTATAAAAAGGGCTGGGGATGTGACTCAGTGGTGAAGTGACCCTGGGTTCAATTTCTTGTTCAATATATATATATATATATATATATATATATATTAGGTAAGGTTGCTTTAAAGACCTTCGAAGCAAAAGCAAGAAATAAAAAGTGAGAAAAACAGGACACTGACATGCACATATCCACAAAGTTATCTGATTTTTGTTAACATATGCAGCATCCTTAGAAAAATTTTGCAGTATATACCTCTGAGAACAAGATGGCAGACAGCATTAGAGAATTTAATATCTACACACCTAAACGGTTCCTGTTTTTTTTTACAAGGGAGGTAATTTTAAATTTTAAAAAGCCCTCCAAATTACCAGGTCTTTCTGATTCTTATACAGTGCTCCTAAATGAAAGTAAAATCACTTAAAAGACACTGATTGCAAAGCCAAGGCTTCTGGAGCAAGAAAGTTCTCTGTCTTCTAAATTAAAGTGAAGATGCGGGTGCCTTTGAGCTGGGCTCCCCCGTTAGCCCTCCCCTGGGGTCTGGGGAGCAGTGTCTAGCAGCAGCTCCTTAGTGAGGTAGAAGCACTTGATCACCGAGGCCAGCTCTGACCACAAGGGGGCGTCAGTGCCCAGCTTTGCCCCACATTGCCAGCTTGAGTAAAAAAGCCTCCAGGGAAGAGGCTGACCTTCTGGGGGTGGCGGCTGCTGGGATTGCTGCTGCTGCTGCTGTTGCTGCTGTTGCTGCTGCTGCTTCTTCCGTTTGGCTTCTAGAACTGGGTTCTCATACTGAGTCTTCCTGTTGATGTGGCTGGGGAGGAAGGCAAACAGGTTTCAGCTGGAACATGGGCATCCCACTAGCAGAAAGCCCATCCCTGGATTAGCTGTGAACCAAGAGGGTGGTCTGAGGTTGACTCCAGTGTCCAATGCATCCATAAAAGGGGGAGATAAAAAAAGCTTCCCATTGCAGGCTGCTTACTTGCACCAAGCGGGTGATGCTGTATTTTAGGTGAAAAGACTTAGTAGATGCCTTGAGGCAAGTCCTACCCGTATTCACACAGTAGTACCCTCTTGCTCCTGAAGGATCTGTTTTCCAGACCCCCCTGGATGACTGGAATCAGGGATCACATGAAACCCTACGTATACTATGGTTTTTGGTCCTTTACATACAAGATTAACAACAGTCACTTACGGGAGATCTTACCAATCTCAGCATATAATTTTTTTTTTCCCCTTAAATTGTGAACTGTCACCTTTTCATTTAAAACACTTCTGGCTCCACATGAGGGTACCCCAATTGACAGCATCATTATTCTTGGGCAATCAATCAATCGTCAACTATTTTGATCAGTTCCCAAGGAGGCAGGATTCCCAGTATAGCCCTTGGGCAGAGAGACTGCACATAAGAGCTAACTTGAGCAGATGTGATGTTTTCAAAGTGACAAAGACCAGGACAATTTCGATGACTGTTGTAAGGAATAAGACCCTGGCAAACACACACACACACACACACACACACACACACACACACACACACGGTTTTCTGCCATGGCCTCGTTTCAGAGGGTGTGTGGGAATGCACATAAATAAGCACACACAGGGCTTTTCAGATATCCTATGACCTCGCTCCTTGCCCCTCAAAAAACCAAGTCACTTCACCCACCAAAATGACTCTCCTCTGTTCCTTTTCTTACTCAAGGCACAAACTAACTGAAAGGCAAAGCAAAATGAGCTTCCAACAACACAGAGCTCGCTCTGTATCTGTAAGGAAGACGACCTCTGGGGTTTACAAAGGGGGAAATTCTAGTTTTAGGAGGGTCCGAGAAATGACCTCTCTTCTGCCCCAAATTGCCAGTGTGGTTTTTAAATTATATCTCCTTTTTTTTTTTTTTTAATTTTCTTTGGGATCATCCTATGGGTGGATGGTTCTGATGAATACAAAGTGCGTGCCCAATGCTGGGATAAGGCACAGGGTGACGGGGTCACCATAAGGCTTTGAAACTTCCAGAAGAAATGTCCTCAGGAAGGAAACAGCCCCAAAGCACCTAGATCACATAGATCCTGAAGCCTATTCTCCATTTTCTTCTTAATCTTGGCAACATTTCATAAGTTATTAAAAATGCACCCAACTCTTTGAGTACATTTTCAATGATTGTTTTGTTTGTTTTGGTGCCTAGGTAAGGCAAAAAGTAGGCCACGTGGGTCCTCCTCCCGAAGATCCACAACCTTGCTCCCTCACGCCCCAGCTTTCTCAATCCATGCCCTCAGCTGATACTTATTAAACACCTGTCATTTGCCAGGACTCTGTTCAGCCTTTGTGAAATGGTTGAAGACGCGTGGATCCTGCCCTCCTGAATTTAATAATGGGATTTACTATCTTTGGATGCACGGAATTATCTTCTCATTCATTAAAACAGACATACGCATTTTCAGTATGAAATTAATATCATAATTGGCGGGCAGCTCCGCTCAGCAGAAGCGTACACAAGAACAGCCACTTACTCTACATAGTAGACACCATAGACAGGATCTTCGATCTTTTCCCAACCAGCAGGCAGTTCTGAAATACAAAAGAATATTTAGAACAAGAAGAACAGATTCTTGAAGAGCCTGAGGACCATGGACAACTGAGTTAGGCCAAAAAAAAGAAAGAAAGAAAAAAAGAAAAAGAAAAGGTCTCATAAGAAGGCCTTAAACCCCTGCGGGGCATGATGRTGCACACCTGTCATCCCAGCAGCTCAGGAGGCTGAGGCAGGAGGATCCCGAGTTCAAAGCCAGCCTCAGCAAAAGCAAGGCGCTAAGCAACTCAGTGAGACCCTGTCTCTAAATAAAATATAAAACAGGGCTGGGGATGGGGCTCAGTGGTCGAGTGCCCCTGAGTTCAATCCCTGGTACCCACCCCCCCAAAAAAAGAAGTCTTTGAACCCAATTWAAACTGTATATCCTAACCAAAAAGAAGTGCATACTCCTTTTATTTCTTGAGTGCACTTTTCTCATGAAGAACAACTCTTTATCTACTGGTATTTTACGCAAGAAAATAAAACTTGATAAAATGCTGTCCCAGCTGCCTTTTATTTTAAACCAACTATTAAATTCGTTTTTAATGGAAATAGTTAAAACTTGCCTTGCATGCTACGCGAAATATTTACTGTTTTCTCGTTTGGTTTCCAGGCTACCTTACCACACGGGCAAAAACAGATGAAAATTAATGCTTCTTTTCATTTTCAGTTCAACAGAACTGTTTCCCTTTCTCTGGAAGAAAATTAAATCTGCATCTTATTTTTCTCCATGTTCCTAATTAAAATGCTACTGAGTAAATAAAAATGCCAGTATGAAGGAGGATGTTTGAACTGCACACACACAGCTCACTCTGTTTCTGTGTTTGGGCCAGTCCATCTTCCCCAGCGCTTCACCTATGAAAAAGTAACACACCCGGGCACCGTGGCGCACACCTGTGATGGCAGCGACTCGGGAGGCTGAGGCAGGAGGATCGCGAGTTCAAAGCCAGCCTCAGCYACTTAGTGAGGCCCTAAGGAATTTAGGAAGGTCCTGTCTCTAAATAGAAAAGTATCCAAAAAGTCTGGAAATGTGCTCCTTGGTAATTCAATTCCTGGTACACCCTCCAAAAAATAATAATAATGACGATAATAATAATTAAATAAATAAATGAAACTGACTACCTATGGGGGAAGATGTCATTCCCTTAAATATGGTAGGAAAATGGCTTTGGGGGACATACGTGATTTTCAAAAACTCAACCACGACCTACCGGGTGTGACTTCGAAAGGTTTCAGATCTTAGTTTGGAATTTCATTAATCAGGAAATAGCGACCTCTGTGACAAGAATCTATTGTGGGAAAACCCCTCGCACCCGATTATGGTACTTGGTGGAAAACAATGAGGTGGCCACATTTTATGTGGTGACACCACCTTTTTAGAGAGCGCTGCGATCACTCAACTCCTTTTCAAGCCACCGTCATACACTCTGCCAAAGCAAGCTTGTATTAAGCCAGACTCCCAAGTGGATCATGATTCCTGGAAGGAACTAGAAGGAACTATTTGAATGGTGGACGGTACACTCTTGAAATGCCATGCATTTTGGAATCGATTTTCTAAAAATCCAGGGAATCATATGGTCTCTATTTTCCAATGATGACTATGACATCAGTGAGGACCCACACGTGCCACCCACAGTTTCAGAATGAGAGGAAGGTGTGGGTGCACCCCCAAGCACACTCAAGACGGCTCAACGTTCACATCTGGCTCACATTTGCCTGCACGTGGAGAAACGAGAACTTCATGGTTTTTGATCCATGTGTTATTTGTTTGCAAACAAGGAGACAGTTATCCCTGCCCTTCTTTTTCTAATTAAAAACAAAACAAAATTCAACAGGCTTTTTAGAAGGTGGTGAATAGCCAGGTGCAGTGGCCCACACCTGTCATCCCAGTGATTCTGAGGCTGAGGCAGGAGGATCAAAAGTTCAAAGCCAGCCTCAGCAACAGCAAGGAGCGAAGCAACTCAGTGAGACCCTGTCTCTAAATCAAATACAAAACAGGGCTGGGGATATGACCCAATGGTTGAGTAACCTTGAGTTCAACCCCCAATGCCCCCTAAAAAAGTATTTGAATTCAGGAGACATAAGCTACTAAAATTCAAGACAGGTCCAATTTGCAGATGTTGATACAACTTGGCATTTTTTATAAACCAAGTCTTATGGGTTGATGCGAATCAAACACTTGGGAAACAGTTTCCCTTTACTAAGCTGGAAATGACCATTTAAATGAAAACAAACCAGGAAAATATTTCCAAAGAGTTAGAAAATTGAAGATGAAAACAATGCAAATTGGTGCAAAGTCAGACATTTGTATGGGGTAGAAGATGGGTCAGAGAGCAGGGAACCTGGTGATCATTAACAGAACCAGACTGCTTTTCAAAATCTGAAACCTGAAATATTTGACCTGCTTAGATACCATGGGAAAGATATTATGCATTGACTACACTCAACTATTAAGCAGATAAACATTTATTGAGTGCCGACTGTTTACTCGAGGATATGTCAGACAACAGCGACATGAAGATAAACACAAGCTCACTGCCCAAGCAGACAGGTCATATGATTTGATGGAGAATTGAAAAGGGAACAAGAAAAGCTACTCCTGGATCTTGATCTGTGGCCCCATCAATAACCTATTAATATTCCAGAGTTCAGGAGTGGGGTCAGTTAACGGGCAATTCTGGATATTGGCTGATTTTAAAACTTCTGGAACAGATGGATCAACTCCAGAAATTTTCCAGTTCTTCAAGTTAAAACTCCTTTTGAATTGAAAAGATAGATTTCTCACTTCCAAATGTGGTGATTAACTTAATAATAGGAATTAGTCTCCTAATGCTTAAAATAGAAGTGGGTCATCAATTAAAAAAAAAAAAGAAAGAAAATGTTTGTCCTAGAATTGCCATTTGGTTCTAAAAAAACTAAAAATGGCAGGAAATATTTAAGCCCAGAATATTATACATTCTATTATAGTTTTTTTTTTAATAAGCACTGAAGATTTCTGAGCCCCTACCCCACCATATCTAACCACTGACAAAACCATAAAACTCATTATGGAGACTAAAGAACACTGAGGTCTTTCTGGCACTTCCAGATCTGGCATTTAACCTTAAATTCCACTTAGCTCTTTGCTCTGTGGCCTTGGGCTGGTTACTTAACATCTCTGAACCATAACCTTTCTTCTGGGTTCACATCAAAGGTCAACCATGGATTAAAGGAGGATGCTTGGAAAACATTTAGCACAGGAGGGACCTCAACAAATATGCAACAAACAGCAGCTACCACCCGAAAGCACACAGGACCAGGATGGATTTCTGCAGCCCACCTGCTTGCTATTCCTGCCTCTGAAAATTTCACGCAATATCATTTTTCATTTCAGGAGTAAATATTGAGTAGTGTAATGTTCTATGCTCCTTTCAAGGGATCTGTCAGGGTACACCTGGAAAATCGTGTTCCAGATCAAAGATGAATTTCAAAACGGTGCCTTAGTTTTGACGGGGAGGGGAACTCGGTTTTCTTGTCTCTACCTTCCCTAGTTGGTTTCAACACAAGAAAACCCTGTAGTTACAAAAGAAGGCTCTGTTTTTCATTCTGGGAAGACTTCTGCAGAAGATGTAGATAAGTTAAGCAAACAAAAGGTGCATAATGGAGCTACTGACCCAACTCCAACAACAGAGCTCAGAAATGACAACTTCATAACCAAATGATCTGTGTGCAGCACCTCAGCCATCCGCCTGTACCCCTCGGGGCAGATTATAGAGATTGAGGTTTCCTTGGCACATCTGGAATAATCACACCACTCACTGAAATCCTGACAGATGCTTTTGTTTGAAATTAGGACCCTTTCATTGAGAAAATGGGCCAAGAGCTTGTCAACAGACTCCAGGGCACATGCAACAGAAAAGACCAAGGGTGTGCCTGCACACGTGCACAGACCAGGAGTTACGCGGTACAGAAGCAGGCAAAATCCAAGGGCCATGCTGCTACCCTGCCTAAAAGAACACGTCTAGACCAGGCGCGGTGAGGCACGCCTGTCATCCCAGGGGCTCAGGAGGCTGAGGCAGGAGAATCATGAGTTCAAAGCCAGCCTCAGCAACTAGTGAGGCCCTAAGCAACTCAGTGAGATCCTGTCTCTAAATAAAATACACAAAGGGCTGGGGATGGGGCTCAGTGGTTAAGTGCCCCTGGTTTAATTCCTGGTACAATTAAAAAAAAAAAAAAACGAACTAGAAAACAAAACAAGACTAAAACACATCCAGGCTACTTCTGCAGGACAGAACACACTCCTTCCTTGACTTTTGTTAAAAGGAAAAAATGCTGTAAGAAGTGTTGATAAATCCCATGAGAATTAGATAATAATAAAACTAGCAATTGCACCAGGAGTTGATCACAGTGACATATATAGAAATGCATTTTCAGTAAATCTCCAAGAGCTCTTCTTTTAGCCCCAATTTATACATTTTGATAAAAAGGAAGCAAACAGAAGTGGGGTCGGGTAATGGGCAATTCTGGATATCGGCTGAGGTCACAGAGGCAGTAAGCAGGGGGGCCAGGCATCTGGTCAGACCACAGAGACGCCTCCATCCCTGCACCACCCACCTCCCAGAATTCCAGCTGTGACAAGGAGAAGGGAATCATGCACCATTAAAACTCATCTTTTAGAGGTCTTTAAGGCCATCACAGTGGCCCAGGGAGAAACACGGAAAGCTCCTTCTGGAAATTTCACCATCTGAACTTCCATAGAAGCAACTAAGGTTTGCTCCGCACACAGCTGTGTGATCCCCAGTGGCCACTCACAGAGAGCATTGAGGTAGCAAGAGGGAGAGAAATTGGTTCCACAGATGATCAACACAATTGTTTTGTATGTGGAAAACCCAGCCCTGTCTTTTTCAATTATCTAATCACCAAATGGATGACTTCTTCACCTTCTTTTTTTTTTTTAAAGAAATTTAACATTGAACCTTAAGCCATTCCTACCACGATGATCAGAGGACAACGCATTAAACATCCTTAAAAACAAAACCCTTCACCAGTCACAGTGGTGAAAGCCTGTCATCCCTGTGGCTCGGGAGGCTGAGGCAGGAGGATGTGAGTTCAAAGCCAGCCTCAGCAACTTAGCGAGGCCCTAAGCAACTCAGTGAGACCCTGTCTCTAAATTAAATACAAAATAGGGCTGGGGATGGGGCTCAGTGGGTGAGGGCCCCTGAGTTTAATCCCTGGTATTTTTTAAAAAAAAATAGAACATGCAGTTTATAAAATCATGCAGGGTAATCAATCATGCGACATCAGCTGCAGGCAGGCAGGCAAGCAGAGGGTTTACCTAGTTCACTGTCCAGCTCCTCGGTGTGTACCCCTTCTTCTCCAAAGGAATAGCAGGAATGAGACAGAAAAGAGAGAAAGAAAAATTCAGACACCAACACCAAGACAGAAGCTCCCCACAGAAAATTAACAAAACAAAACAAAACAAAAACAGCAGCAACCCCATCACTTGATTGTGACCTTACCTGCACAGCAGCTCATTTCATTGGCTTGGCCAGAAAGTGTGACCTCAACKCGAATCACAGAACAGTAAGAGCTGATATTGGCAAAATAATTATACGGCTCATTTCCTCGAATGTCAAAACAGGGCTTGATGGGTTGTAAAAGGTGAAATACACCTTTGCGGTCTCAACGTTCCCAAGTGGGAAGTCACTTATTACAGACCTTATTTGCCACCAACGAAGCTGTGAGACTTTTCAATATGAGYCCTTTTCATCCTCCAATAATCCACTCATCAGTGAGGCAATTAAACGCACAATTAAAGAATTCCTTCACTTACAAGTCATATGGCTGCTTGAAAAGGGACGGGGAGGTGGCACTCAGASAGCAAGGGGGACAATGAGTTCAGAGTCTTTCAAAGAGGAGAGAAAGATGAATTAAGTCCTGACACCCAGGAAGGGAGGCTTGATGCATGCCCTGAAGGAGCGTGGGGAGGTACAGCCTACTGGGTGGGGTGTTTCTTTCTAGAAAAGTTTTAAAAGTCAAATGATTCAGAAATAGTACAGGTGAAATGTTCTCGCTGACTTCAGCAAGCAAAATGAGTGAAACCTTTCCATTCCACGCCTCCTCATGCTGACAATAAAACACTTTATTACTGAGATCACAGCAGAGCACACAAAAGTCCTTTCACACATAAAGTGGCCCCAACTGCAATGTAGGTGGCTGTTCCCCTCTGCTGCAAGTTCCAAATGGGGACAACAGACGTTGAGTCTATTCTCACTACTAGGGCATGCTCAGTGCCCAGGGGAGTTTCCTGGTACATGTTAGGTAACAAATATTTCTTGAATGAATGAATGAATGAATGAATGAATGAATGAATGAATGAATGAGTGGATCCATTATTAAGGAACAAACAGGAATTTAAACACCTTGTGGTGCACACCTATAATCCCAGCAGTTCTGGAGCCTGAGTTTGGAGGATAGCGAGTTCAAAGCCAGCCTCAGCCACTTAGCGAGGCCCTAAGCCACTCAGCGAGACCCTGTCTCTAAATAAAATACAAAATAGGGCTGGGGATGGGGCTCAGTGGTYGAGTGCCCTGAGTTTAATCCCTGGTACCCCCAACAATCAAAGAAACAAACAAACAAAAAGAACACCTTGTAAACATTTGACTTAAGAAACTATCAGGTTGTCATCAGTGAGTTTCAACTGGCGATGATTTATAAAAAAAAAAATCATTTGTGAACATGCCCATCTGGATATTATCCATCTTTTGGGAGCATTCGTTCATTTCTTTCAGTAATAATTTACAGGGAACTATCATGTGCCTGTCATTGTGGTGGGTGGCAGAGATATCACAATAAGCAGGAAAATGTGTCTACCCTTTGAGAAGAGGAGACAAAACCAAATTAAAACTACGGTAAGATCTCTAGAGCGAGGGTCTGGGGTTGTGGCTCAGTGGTGGAGCACGTGCGTGGCGTGTGTGAGGCACTGGATTCGATCTTCWGTGTCACATATCAATCAATCAATTGATCAATCACTAAAAGATATGCTGTCCATCCACAACTTAAAAAAAAAAAAGGTCTCTAGCATGAGATACACACAAGAGTGGACGGATCGTGGAGAGCGTCTCTGAGCTATGATCTGAAAGATGTGCCAAATTTGGGTGGGAAATGCCTGGAACCCATGCGTCTATGAAAGCCGGACTTTCCCTCCTTTGCACTCACAGATACCCCTGAAGGGTGGAGGAGCCTTCTGGCATAGAGAAGGTTCTGGATAACCATCTGTGACGAGAAGGAGCAGTCTGAAAAGAGAACTGCACACCTACCCACCAGGGGCAGGGACTCAGGACTGGTGGGGACAGGGGCAGAGAGCCAGGGTGGAGCTGAACCACGTGGGGCTCAGAGAAAACAACCCAGGGACTGGGCACTCGCAGGGCAGACTGGGAGGCCACCGAACGAACGTAGGGCCTGAGGGTGCTCAGGGACAGGGACGGCATGGGCACAGTTACATTTTCAAAACCTGCTCTGGGTTCAGCCTAAGAAAGAAAGGTGCACTAGGAATGGCAGAGGAGGTGAAGAACTAGGGAATGGACTTCAGAAATACGTAGGGGAACAGCGAATTCAGCTGGGTCACAGACTAGAAATGGGTGCACAGAAAGGTGGCCACTCAGTAGGACCCTTTCTTCCCCCCTTTTTTCTTTATATGTGGTACTAGGGATTGAACCCAGGGGCATTCGACCACAGAGTCCCACCCCCAGCTCTTTTTGAGACAGGATCTAACTTGTCCAGGATGACCCTGGCTTTGACCTTGGACTTCCCTTGCCTCAGCCCCCGGAGTAGCAGGGATTATGGTGCACCACTGTGCCTGATCAGTAGGRCTCTTTGGTATGCATGAATTTTCATTCAGCTGAGATGGCGAACACTTATGACAGGTCTCATGTGTGTGGGGAGGTGGGAGGGAGGCAAGATCATTAGTTTGGTTATAATCAGGCTGAGTCTGAAGTCTCTTGGAGACTACCAGTTGGCATTATCAATCAGGCAGATTAAAACCCTAGCCTGGAGCTCAAAGGCAAGGTCTGAGGCTTCTAAGAGAACTAGCTGCAGAGAGCAAGGACCAAAGGAGTAATTAATACACCAAAGATCAAAATCCCACACTCAAAATGGAAGAACATTAAACCTTCACCATGATTAAGTATGAAGCCATACCACAGCATGGCATCTATACTGCAGAGAGTAGAAACATTTGTAACCAATAATGGTTACAAGTGATAACATATAAACAGCAAATATCTAAACAAGTACCCAAGGCAGCCTGATGTTCACTGGCAAGAGAAGAAGCAAAACAAAATTTATCATCCTCTGATGACGCAGTTATCAGGTTTGTATGCACACACACACACACACACAAACATATCTATTTATAGTAGAAATAGAATATATAAAGTCTAATGCTGAAAGTGGAGTTGTGAAGCTAACTGCATGTGCTAGGGATACACACTTGGGCTAAAGGAAATTACATTAATTTATGAAATGGTAAGAATTCTAAGAGTTAAAAATAACAAAACTATTCAGGGACTCTTCTCAGTACTTTATTCCACTAATAGTTTTTTTTTTCCTCAGTAAAAGCTCTTGCAGTCATTTGTCATCTACAAAATTATATTAAGAGGCATTTTATACAATCCTACTGTAGCTACAATGCATTCTGTCATTGAAAACCCTATGTAGAGTTGTAAATGGCTTTCAAAATCATCAGTCTTCAAATACAGATGAGATGCGGTTCCATGTAGTTACACGGTTGAACGTGTTTTATGTTCTAATCCTTGAAAATTAGTCACTTAACTATTCTATATTAAACAGAATCTTTGAATAAGCAGGACATTCTATTGTCCCCAGAGCATGAAAAAAAAAAAATAAATAACAGAACTGATCAGACTTGCTTCACTCCTTCAGGAATGGAACTAAATAACAAAATAAGCAAGTCGCTCATGCCTAGGTTAGCAGGACATGCATTTCCATTTGAAGTCACCGAGATAAACCTGAATGTAAAATTCCATGTTCATTCCAGGGGATCTGCAAACCATGTATAATGGGAAGATCTTGGAGTACAAGTTTTCGACAAGATGCATCCTTTAAAATACTGGCTTGCATTTTCAAACAAACCTCAGATTTATATACACAACAATTCTGCACTATAGAATGAATTAATAGTTCTGTTATCTTACGGAAAAATATGTRCTGAATAATTATACTGCTAATGCAAATGCCAGAATTGAATAATGAGGAACAAAACCATTTCCCTTTCAAAAWGTCCACAACAAAAAGCAATTTTGGTAGAGCTCGGGAGAGATTTCTRAGTACTGCTAAAAAGGGTACAAATTTGCTGTGTCTTAATTTTTTTTTCCATTTTGGAGAAGTAATTATAAACCCCAAAGTTTTGAAACAAACTTTTTTAATGAAAACTTTCACAGGCAGTTACTTTGATCCTAAGATGAGCAGTGAGATTGGAGGCTCTAAGTAACATCTCAGCCTCTTTCTCAGAGGACACATTTTGCAGACAGTATGAGGAAGTCAAGTGGAAATGCCCAAGCATGTCAAAATCTGCTCCCCTCCCCCCCAAATTGGGGAAATAACAGAATTATCAAACAAGGAGCACCCAYAGAGCTCCTGAATTTTTTTCCCCTAAGATTTTTGTACCATAGGGTGATGGTGCARTAGGGCTCACTGATCAGCGCACTGCAGGTGTCTATATGCTCAGAGAATTTCTGAGGTCTTTACCAGGCCCCTGAAGGCAGAAGAGGTATGTGCCAGCATAGGAGGTATCCAGTGCAGATACCTCATTGGGTACCTTTGTTTCCTGGCTGAACTGAGGTTCTGTTTCCAATGGAGATAAGACAGTACACCTCCTTTGTATATAAAGGATTGTTGTTTAAAAAAAAAAAAAAACTACTCAATTTCCTCCTGTTTTGGTAAACTCAGTATATTTCCTAGAAATGGCATTAACTTATTAACTCAGGGCCTTATGCATGTTAAGCAAGAGTTATACCACTGAGCTATCAGYACTTTTTAAAGATGTTATTTTGTAACAGGGGCTTACTAAGTTGCCCAGACTGGTTTGGAACTTGCGATTCTCCTGCCTCTTGTCTCCTGAGT